AGGCAGGCGCTCCATCTGAGGGTGAGAGCCTCCCCACGCTTTGTACCCTACAGGTCTCCCTTGTCCTTCCCTATCCCAGCCTTTGGCATCACCAGCTATAATACATCCATTGTGGTGCCATAGAAAGAGCATCAGCGCAGCATGAGGGAGGCTTAGAAGCAGGTCATTTGCGGAGAAGATGGCCTTGGAGCTAATTGAGGGAAGGTGAAGGAAGTCATCACAGAAAAGCAGCATAGCAAGGATTTCACCGGAGATAGGAAAGGACACAAAGGGCCAGAGACAGGTTCGGGGTAAGACCTGCGAAAAGGAGGAAGCTAAGTGGCTTAGAACATGGAGTGTGAACAAAGTGGGGATGCTGGGAGCTTCCTGAAAGACAACGGGAACCTTGACTTTATCTCAGTCTTATTTTCACAGAACCACATTAGAAAATATATCCTGGTATGGGGAGGGGAGAGAAAATCCAAAATCTCTCGAGATTTAAAATCTATTTGTTAACTTTTTCAAAGCCTGATAAGGCTCTTCTTGGGGCATATGGGCCAACTAAAACTTAAAAACCCTATATGACTAGTATCTTTTGGGGGAAGGATATTAAGTACAAGAATCAGTGTATGGAATTTAACAAAGTTACAACTTGCATTTGTTGTAACATTTTATAGGTCACAAAGTCCTCTAACATTGTCTTTTTTTAAAAAAGTATCATTGATATACAATCTTATGTTGGTTTCAGATATACAGCACAGTGGTCCAACAGTTACCCACATTATTAAATCCTTACCCCCTCTAGTGCAGTTACTATCTACCAAAATAGTAAGATGTTACAGAATCATTGACTGTATTCTCCATGCTGTACTACCTTCCCAGTGATCAACTTAGATTGTGATTGTAAATCATGTGTCCCTTTATCGCCTTCCCCCTCCCCCCAACGCCTGTCCCAACCCTTCCCCCATGGTAAGGGTATTCCCTTCCTAGTGTCTATGAGTCTACTGAGATTTTGTTCCTTCTACATTGTCTTTTTAATTCTGTCTTTTCTCTGTGCCTTTGCCCGTTTCTGTTCCCAATTCCTAAAAATCTCTTTTCCTTCCTAGCTTGCTGGTTGAGACCTATTTTTTTAAACAGCTTTATTGAGATAGAATTCACATACCAAACATTTCACCAATTTAAATTGTATATTCAATGGTCTTATGATATTCAAAGTTGTGCAACCATCACAACGATTTTAGAACATTTTCTTTACCTTAAAAAGAAATGCTGGCCCATTAGCTACCCCTCATTTGTCCTTACCTCCCCCGTGGCAGGCAGCCACTTTCTGTCTCTGTAGATTTGCTTATTATGGATATTATCTTTTAATTTTTACTTTAAAGCATCTTTGGGGATTAGGAATTCTTACCTTTGGAATTCCTAATCCCTAAATAGTGGGACCTCTACTGATAAGTCAGAGAGCTGTGGTAGAAGTAGAAGGAGAAACAAGTCCAAGCCACTATATATTCTTTATTTTCCCAAATATTGTACAAGCCAGGTATCATTTAGCAGTTGAAGAAACTGGAGTTCATAGAAACTAAGTAACAGGCCCAAACGTTTACAAAGTAACTGCCTTTCTGATTAGCGCGGACTATCTCTTCACCAGATCAGTACTTCTCCGACTTTGGTGGGAACTAGAATCACCTGGAAAGCTTATCAAACCCAGATAGCTGGGCTCCACCCACAGACCTCTGGATTCGCTAGCTGGGTGAGGCCGAAGCTTTGCATTCCAGCCGGAGTGGGTCGGGGACTCTCCTGTCTGGTGCTGCCCCACAGAGTCTGAGATTGTGGTTAAGAACACAGAGCTTAGGTGCTGAAGTAGCGGTAGTATCAGCTGGTCACTTCCTCGGAGCAGTTCTTGCGATCCCTCAAAGCCACTGCTGTATTAATAAAAGGCAACACAGAGAACAAAAATGCTCCAGAGACATGCTGAAGTGCAGTAACGTTTTTTTGTTTTTTTTTGGTTGGAAAGTATGATAAGCAATTAGAGAATTAACTGTGTTGCATGAAGCACCGGGAGGAAAACCTTTTCGGAGGCATAACGTGGTGTCGTCCCTTGTCCGGTTTGGAATGATAGCTATTTAAGGAGCAAAGGCAGGCAGACGGAGGAGTGTCAACAGCAGCGTCACTTTTAGTTCTTTGGCCGCAGCTGCAGTTGCACACTCATGCTGACTTCATCCCCAGATGTGAGCTAGGCCAGGCCTGGATCAGACTGAAATCTGTATATATATATAAAAAAAATCATCACAGATACTGAGAAAAACCTATTTTCTTGAATCTGTTCTAACTCTGGGTTTTACTGAAAAACATTTGATGTTTTTTCTTAGTGGGAGGAGAAGGAGGACAGCTTGAAATCACTTAATTCAGGATCTGCAGTGTAATTGCTCCGGTAGGCTCAAACGTGATTTGAACATCCCTTCCTATGGGACTTGGTGACCAGGCTCCCAAGGGAGGATGACACAGCACAGGGACTACTGCAGACAGCCTGCCTCGCTTTCCAGAGAGCAGAGGTGCCAAAGTCCTTGCCGAGGTCACCAGTGCTGAAAACAGTCTTAATAATTGAAGTGGACATGGGTAACCTCCTTGTGTGTAGGTAAGCCGGCCCTTGGGGCAGAGGAGAGAAAGGACAGCAGGGCAGCGAGAACAGGGAGCGTGGAGGGCGGCTGGATGTCCTCTGTCAGTCAGGCCTTACTTTATAGGGAGAGCTTTTGCTTTTTGCAGGGCACTCTTATGTATATTAACTCATGCACAGAGGTCAAATATTATTATTAAATATGGTGCAGATAAGTGTAATAAGTTAGCTCAGTGAATGGCTCAACTAGTTCATAGACACACACACACTAGGACTAGATGTAGCCAGTTACTTGGAATTCAGAGATAAGAGCACGTAATTCCAAAACGGTGGGAGTGAAGTTTACCTGTGGGGTGCTTTCTTACCTCTTCCACATTCATTTATTTGTTCATTCATTCATTCAAGAAACATGTATTGTTTGCTTCCTGCTTGCCAGTCATTCTGCTCAGTGGGCCTTGGGAATGTAGAATGAGACAAGGTTGTTTCTTCATTCATTCAACAAATATTTATTAAGATCCTATTACATGTCAGGAACTGTTCTAGGTGCTAGGTATATAGTAATTAGAGACAAAAAATGCAAGAAATGCATAAACCAGTTTGGAAACTAACATTTGAAACTTACAAAGGGAAGGCAAATAAGGTCTATGATGAGAATGCTGGGATGGATAGAAGGATGGGTAGCCGAATAGTGTGATAAAGTAAGGATAGTACAATGTTAATGGCAGAATCTGGGTGGTGGGAATCTCTGTTTACTATAAAATATCTCAACTTCACGTTTGAAAACTTTTATGATAAAATATTGTGGAAAAGATGCTATAGGAATGATAAGGAAGGGAGGGATCTGGGAAAAGCTCATAGAGGATGAGGCATTCTTTTTTCCTTCCCTTCTTCCTCTCGGCTACTTACTATCCTGTTAGCTATGGGTCCATCGAGTTCCAAATTCCAGTAGGCTTTGTCTTGAGCAATAAAGAACTCCATCAGGGTCGTGGAAGATTGTTAGATTTCTTTAGTGCGTTAAAGACTGGGGAGAAGAGGCAGCTTCATGAATCAGCTAAAACTGACCCACCCCGTAGCCATTTGGTCCTTCTAGCTAACCTCCCCCAAACGCCTCTCTCTCGGTACCAGGTAGTCACTCTCCCCATCTTAGTTTCCTGTCTGGGCTTCTGTGCAGTTTGATTTTGGATGGTGACATGAAGTATTTCCAAAGTGAAAAGAACATTTGTGTTTTCTAATGCTTTTAATATTCTTTAGTAAATTTCTTTCAAAATCATCCTGCATTTAAGGTAATTAAGCAAGTTTGAAGAGTCAGTGCTATGTACTGAAGTTCTCTTTTTAGCCGGTAGGACCCCATCAGCTCATTGATACCAGTCCCGGGTTCTCAGGGGCAGAGCCTGGTAGTTACTGTCCAGCCCTGCCTCTCTCCTGTGTCTCAACAAAAATTTCCTGTCCAGTTTCAGCCCATTACAGGGGCCTTTTCTCTTCCAATGTTACTGTCCAGCCCTGCCTCTCTCCTGTGTCTCAACAAAAATTTCCTGTCCAGTTTCAGCCCATTACAGGGGCCTTTTCTCTTCCAATACTTACGGAGGGCCTAGGCTGTGCAAGGCACTCTACCAAGAACTTTAAACGTAATTCATTGACAACAGCAATCCTAGGATGTAATTGCCGTTAGTATCCCCATGTAACAGATGAGAATGCTGAAGCACAGGGAGATTGGAGTAGCTTGCTCAGGGGACTGCATGTAAAAGCACAAATCACTCCGGAGTGGAGGCTGCTGAGTCGCCAGCAGACCCATTGCCTTTCTCACCGAGGGACTAATTGCTCATCTCTGAAAACCCAGTTCAATTAAAAGTACTAATGGGTCAAAATGGCATTATGTATGATTTTAATGCTTGCCTAAACCCTAACTCCTCAGTGTTTGGATTTCAGACTGTGGTTTGCAAGGGTGTTGAATTTTGGAGGAAGGCCCCCTTCACATAAGCCCCTTCAACTATCCTTTCCTAAGGAGACTCTAAGGGAGTTGCCAGCTGAAGAGGATGGTGTTTGCAGGAGAGGAAATACTTAAAATCAGCGGCTGACATGTTATTTCGGCAAACGGGAGGGGGGGGGAAAATCCCACTTTCGGAAAATGCAAGTTTTAACCTGGATATTGGGTAACGACGTTAAATTAACTCTTTGTTTCTCATCTTCCAAGCCTGTTCGCATCTTGCTCCCCAGACCCGGGGCATCGTCTCCGTTTGGGAGGCGCCCGGGCGCTCCCCGTCCATGCGAAGCAGGCGGCAGCGGCCGAGAGGGCAGGCGGGTTCCGGGGAAGGGTTAACGCGCGGCGCGCGGCGGGCCCGGAGGGCGGAGGCTGCCCGCGCCCGCGCCCCCGCCCCCGCCCGGGCGAATAGCAGCGCGCTGCCCGCCGGATTGGAGCAGCGGCATCACGCTGACCCCCGCCGGGGATGTAAGCCGCGGCCGCTGCGGGCACCGCAGGCTGTCGGCTCCGGGACCCACGGCGGCGGCTGGCGGCGAGCGCGGGCCGCGAGCCGGGCGGGCCCAGCGGCGGGAAGCGGAGGCCCGGGCGCGGGCGGAGGCGGCGCGAGCATGGCCGGGGACAGCGAGCAGACCCTGCAGGAGCACCAGCAGCCCACCGGCGGCGAGCCCTTCCTCATCGGCGTCAGCGGCGGCACCGCCAGCGGCAAGGTACGGCGGCCGCGCGCCCTGCCCGCCCCCGGCTCCTCGCGGCCGCCGCGTGGCCGCGCGCTCCCGGGCCCCTCGCCTGGCTCCCCACCCGGTCCGGCCCGGCCGCCCGCGGATCCTTCCCCCCAGGCGCCGAGCCGCCGCCGCCGCCGCCGCCGACCGCGGACGGGCGCGCTGCCTCCGGCTTTTCCCCGCCGCGGGAGCTCGGGGCCGCCGTCCTGGGGGGCGGCGGCTGCTTACTGTTTTGCAAGCTCGGCGCGGGGGAGAGGGCTCGGGGCTGGGTCCCCGGCGGCGGGCGGCAGCTCGCCGCGCGGCGCAGCCGGGGACGCGAGCCCCACGTGGCTGGGGACTGCAGGGCTTCCCTGGTCAAACCCTGAGAGCCACGCCGGGTCGGTGTCGACCGCGGACGGGCGCGCTGCCTCCGGCTTTTCCCCGCCGCGGGAGCTCGGGGCCGCCGTCCTGGGGGGCGGCGGCTGCTTACTGTTTTGCAAGCTCGGCGCGGGGGAGAGGGCTCGGGGCTGGGTCCCCGGCGGCGGGCGGCAGCTCGCCGCGCGGCGCAGCCGGGGACGCGAGCCCCACGTGGCTGGGGACTGCAGGGCTTCCCTGGTCAAACCCTGAGAGCCACGCCGGGTCGGTGACATCCGTGAAATGGTACCAGCAGGGACTTGGGCGTGTTTGTGGCTCTAAGAGGAAACGTGGCCGGCTTCCATGGGAAAGTGGCAGTGGCCCCGCGCCCCTGGGTGTGAGCGGCGCGCGCATCTGGGATCCCCGGAAAGGGGTCAGACGAGGGGTGCCGGACTCCCCTAGGCGCCCGCGTTCTTTGTTTCATCGGCACGGCGAGCAGAGCCTGGAGAAGGCTGTCCGCGCCTCACCCCGGGCCTTTTCTGCAGTGGAGAAGGGCGGAGTCCCCCCAGCTGTTTCTTTCCTTGCCGCCTCACCGCCTTTGAGGTGCGGCTGCTTGCTCCCCAACTTCGGTGGGAGCACGAGCTCCCCGAGGGAGCCTTGGAGAGGCTGGTTGCGCGCCGGGGGTGGCGAGGGGGGCTGGCGCCTCCCGCAGCTGGGAGAGCGAGCCGAGGGCGGGATGGCGCCGAGGGGGAGGGGGCGGCCACGAGGTGTGCGCGGCGAGCCGGCCGCGGCGGGGCCCCTGCTCCCTTCTGGCTGCACATGTCCTCCAGGTCGGGGCTGCTGGGGCGCGCGGGGCCCACACCCGGCCGCTGGGCGCTGTGCAACTTCTTTCCGTTTTAAGTTAATCTAGTTCTAGCTCTGTGGACTAGGAGTCGGCCTGGTTTAGGTAGGGCCCAGACGTTTATGTTGCATTTGCTCCTGGTTGAACGCATTTTTTTATTTTTAAAAATGTTTGTGTCTCCTGCTAGTACTATTACTAGGCATTAAAAACAAAAACAGGATGCCAGCTCTGAAGCTTTACCTGTTCTTTGAGAATCATCCTCGCCCCTTCCTTCCATAACATATTCCTGTGGCTTGGGACCTTTTTGCGGCTCTTCATGGCCGTGTTCCCAGCGCTCCTAGCAGGATGCCTGGCCCATAGTTGGGCCCAAATATTACCCTGAGGCCCTGCCCTCCTGGAGGCAAGGAGGCTTAAACTAGCAGATGAGTGTAGCATTTAGAAACACAAACACTCCAGTAATCTTCTAAATAATTTAATCACTACAGAGGGGGAACCCCAGATCCTTAAAGGTGAAATTAACTAACTGTGGTTTTCATCACAGTTTCAAGGTTATTTTATAATTTTTTTGTTTAAGAAAAGCTCCAAATTCCATATTGTAGTCAGTTTGCTGCGATTGTGTCTTGATTTTCCTATTCCAGTCCTTTGCACCTTTCCTCCAAAGGATTTGAAGTGTTTTTTTTTTTTTTTTAAAGGATGGTCAGTATCAACAAATGGGACGGCCTTTGAAGTTTCAGGCCTGAACAGTGCAGGAGGGTCTGGAAGGAAGACGGATATTCTGCCCCCTGCCTGGATGTTTGTTCTGTGCCTGTGAAAGGAATTTGGGGGACAGCAAAGGGCCTAAAAGAGCATCATCAAAAATGACACTTTTAGACCTCGAAGGAACCTCAGAGTCTGCGCAGTCCAGCACTTCACTTGGTCTGCTCACACACAGATGAGAACAGTAATGTTCAGGCCATATACTCAGTGGCGGAACCAGGACCAGCGGATGCTGCTCAGTCCTGCTGGTCACCCCGTTAAAGAACTGACTAACCAGTGTGGGGAGAACACAGGTTTACAACCCTCACTCTGGAAAGGGGCTGCTTGAAAACGGCTACAGAATGTTTCAGAGGTATTTTGACTGAAAGGAAGTGGAGGTGCAGATTGCTTTGGCCCAGCAGCGCCCATCTTGGTCGTTTCCTTACCTCCCCTCCCCAGCGTTTATGAGGAAAAACAACTCCCCGTTCAGCTTCTCATTGAGAGCTCTGATTTGTCTCAATGTTGTGGCTGCTCTAAGCACAAGTCTTTTATCTTAGACTAAGTTATTTGGATTGCAGAAGGCAAAAATAGTGATTGCAGCTCCATAAATCACATGTTTGAGTTTGTTTTATAAATGAAGGTGAACTAGAACTTCAGAGTAAGCTTTGTGATTCTGGCATCACACATCACTGTTAGACACTTGTGGCGGGTTGAGAAAGTTACTGTGATCTACATTAAAAACCGTATTCCCGTGTTTCATATGTATACTGTGACATACTATGACACCTCTCCCTCATTTTTTTTGTAACTGCCCTTAGGACTTTTGTCCTTGGCCAGTTAAAATAGCTTCTCTGCCTGTCCCTTTACACTGCCCTCAGGGTGGTGACACTTAGTGACAGCTCTGTGTCACTCTCCTTTTTGGAAACCTTGGATGACTCCCCATTGCCCAAACTCCAGGCCACATCTTTAAGCATGGCTCAAATCCCCTTGGCCCCAGGTGTGTTCTCAGACTATTTATTTTTGCATTCATATCCCCTCTCCCCGCCCAGATGCACCTATGGAGCTGTTTGACTTTCCCTTTTGTTGGTGGCCTCTAATCTTTTCAAGACTTCAGAGAGCTTCATTATCCATTTCCTTAATCAATTATATTTTGTCTCTAATGCATCCATAGTTTTATCACAGTCTGCCTTATACTGTGGTTATTTGTTGACTGCTTCCCCCACTACAAATCCCTGGAAGAGCACCTGGTTTATTTGTGCCATAATGCCCACTGCAGCCTTGGTTAGAGTGTTGTTGGTGTTTGGTGTTTGGTGTTTGTTGAACTGAGTTGGGTAAACCATAACTTATAATTACCCTTTTATTTTTTAATTCATGAGTTAGGATGAAGCCACAGTTGAAACCATATTTAACTGTGTTACCCGTGTTTGATCAAAAAATGAAAAGCACCCTGAAGCCTAATACATTGGTATTGCTTATTTATTTAGTGTGCACTAAGCGCCTATTTGTGCAGCAAAGGTCATTATGCCGAATACTGTGTTAAGTGCTTGGGGTGAGGGGAAGTTAGGGTGTCAGGAAATAACAGAAAGCCTCTCAGTATTTGATGGTTACAACCTCCTTAAACCTCTCGGACTGTCAAGCCAACGTATCATTAAAGCATTTGATTATCTTTCCACTTGCGGTCAGATGTCTTTATCATTGACAGATGACATTGGAAGATGAAGTCAGGAGAATTTTTGACTTGTCTGAAGTCACATAGCTAGTAAGTGATAGAACTTGGATTGGAATCCCGATTTTTCCTTTTTTTAAATCTATATCAGTTTGAGCTATCACAAAAACAGTGACCCATCCTCCGAGGTATTTTTTGGGAGTTGGTCTGACTGTGTATGAGTAATAGGGACGGGGAAGAGACACGGCAATGCCCTCAGAGGTGGGGCTGCCGCCCGACTCAGCTTGACGGTGAGTCAGCAGCTGCTTTTGGAGCGCTCTGCAGTGTGCCCTGGACCTGAGGCTCCGTGGCTCCTTGCATTTGGGGATTTCACTGTTCCTGGACCTCAGCAGCCTTCCCATCTGGCCAGACTCCTTCCGTACCCTCCTATCAGGTGTTCCCAGGTCCACTGGACTGGTTTGGTCTACCTGCTGGTTTTCTCAGAGCCAGTGTGGTGGGCTTTCTACCCCTGCAGGTGTGTCCATGTCCAGGTGGGCCCATGCGACCTGGTGCTGCTGACCTCCTGCCGCTGCCCCACCTGCCCCCCATCCCTGGCCCTCTCTGTTCCAGTCCCACCTGCTACTGGGCACGCCATGCTTGCCCCGGGCCCGAGGACTTGGCATTTGACCTCTTGTTGGCTGGGTCAGCCCCGGAGCACTGTGCCTGGCCAAACACCAGCCTCAGTGCCCCCCCTGCTGCCGCCTGCCCTTAGCGCGCCTGTGCTTCAGGGCCTTCTTTATTCCTTGCTTGAGTGTCTTTGAAGTGTGGTCACCTGACTGCAGCTCATTATACAGCATTTGCTTAGGTCCTCTGGCTGATGTTATCATTTCTTTTTGTGTCTAGATTTTATGAGGTTCTGTGATGAAGACAGATTGTATTTGGGAATTTCACTGCTGATGACCGGCCTGTTTTTGCCTTGGGCTCTGAGGTGGTGCTGTTGGAAGTGCTCAAGATCGCTAAGGTCCTTTACTGTATGTCTCAATTTTTTAAATCAATAAGATAGATTGGAAGGTGTATTCTGTGTGTGTGTGTGTGTGTATGCTTTCTTGTCCATTAAACCATTTTTATCATTAAGCCAACTTAATTGAAACATTTGATCATCTCCTTATCATAACATACCATGTCTATGTAAAATTATTAAGTATAATCTATTATGATTATAAAACAAAAACAGCAATTATGAAAGGATGAGGAAAATGAAATAAACACTTAAAATTGTGGTTTCTGTGATGGCAAGCCCTTTTGATTCTTATTAAAATATACTTATTTGTGACTAAAGAATGTTTTATTTTTAAAGATCTTGTGTTATACATGGTGATTCATGGATTTGGGATATCTTGGTGTTATTAGACTTGGTGGTAACACAAGGCCGAAGGT